TGAGCTTCCTCACATATTTTCATCAACCATTTGTAACACAATAGCATAGCCAAGCCACCTCTTGTTTTATAGAAATTTTGTGTCTTTAAATATAAAGATTTAAATTCTAAATTTTGCACCAATACTTTGATAAGTTAAACTGAAAATGCATTAGTCAAACATCATTAATTGAAAAGGGGCCAGTCAAACAAACAGAAGGAATAGATGATAAGTACGTGGTTGACTGGTTGGTGCTTAAAGGGCGTATCTTTTACTACTGGTGTTGTTCTATATGTGCAAAATAGTAAACATTTCTAACCATATCAAGGAATGAAAGGAACTTTTCAGCTGGTTTAAATTCCATCCTAGATTAAGTCAAGTAACCCAAGTTGTAGGTAAAATACCAAAACGCAAAAACAATGTTAGGTTACTCTGGTTGAAGAAATATTTACCAGTTCAAAGCGCTCCAGAAGTGATTTGCATAAGTCTTCATGACTATTGTCAGGCCCATACCAAATACGATCCCAAGTAGACCTGAATCCATTGCTAGCAGCAGCTTGCTGCATTATAATTTTACCTATTCAAGGAATGAAACAACACATAAGGAAGGAGAAAGAACACCTTCCCTTTTCTTCTCCAAAAGATAGTGGAAGCAGTGTATGAGAAAAAACATTATGTCCATCAATTCTTATGCCCTGAGTTTAGGAGGTATACTCTCAAGTTGTTTAGTTAGAGGTTATCAAATAAGAAAAATACTAATACTTTGCACTTCTTCCTTTTTCTGAAAAGTTGAAAATCTAACAGGGAAAACATATTAAATAGTACTCCCTTCATCCGACTATTTCATTTTTCACCAATATTTGCCTCTATGTTTTCATCTCACTATCTTTGTTTCTCGCTATATTTAGAAGCATTTATGTCACTCATACTCAATACTCATTCAAACATTTTCTTAGTTTTTAGCCTCAATATCATAAACATAATTCTAAATTTTGAATTTGTGTATCACATCCTCATGTCCCGAAAACAATGGGACAAAGGTACTCAAAACAATTAAACAAAAAGTTTAATGAAGTAACTCGGGGTCGGCTACATGAACTAAAGAAAAGATAATCACGTTTGGTCACTCTAACAACTGATTTCTATCTGTTTCTTTCTTTCTTTTGATCTTCACAAATGTTCAATGGGTCAAGTAGGAAGCTTTACTTGCCAAGAGCTCTTTTGTCTTTCTGTTGGGGAACATGGCTTAAGAGTATTTCATTGACAGTATTTAAATTTGTTGTATTTGAATCCAAACATCTTTTGTATCTCCTTTGACAGCATTTCACATCTTCCTATGATAGAGTA